ATTAATTTATTACTGCGGAAAGCAGGTCAATGGCTACTAATCGGACTGGAGAAATGAGACACGATACAGTGCGACGCCGCGTGAATAAGGTTCCGTTAAATTATGCGTAGCTCTCGGCGTTTGAGCGAGATTGTGTAGCTGCCCAACGGGCGATCATCGGCAGAAAGGAATATTCTCACAAGTGGGGCACCTACATAACTCATGTCCTCGCGTCTTTGAGTCGAGCGGAAAGTGCTGCATTGAGACGAGGAGGAGTAGGAGAAGGAGTGGGCGACTCGCGCGGACGGCACGGCTATGTGATGTCTAATTAGCCGTGAGATGCGGAAAGTTCACCGAACACTTCTTTCCACGGTCAGTTTCGAAGCGCCGACTTTCCATTCCGCTGCGTTTCGAAAAGCAGCTCGAAGTCGAGCCTTTCGAGACCGACCGGGCAATTCCATTCGACTTGGCGCACATCTCGCGCAATCCCACACTCGAGATTTCCTCGGGAACAGTTCGGTACACCGTTACAGCAATTGAATCGCGCGACACGTTTTAATATAATCAGAGTAGTAATGAGAAAGTAGTAATGAGAACCGGTAATGGCAATAAGATGTGCGGTAAACCGCGATCTACTGTTTTGCGACAAGAGACCGTTCTTGGCGTTTCCTTGCGGATAAGCGCGATAAAGCGCAAATTGAGTTCATCCGTCCGTCACACAATCCGTCACAAATGAGGATTTACTGTTCCAAAATCGCTACAAACCGTAATTCTTAATCGATCGAGACGAATCTTTTCTGGAATTAATCGTTAATTTCAAAGAAAACTATGGAGCTTGACTTTTAAAAAAGACTTCCTGAAATTTGCAATATTAATAACAATTCTTACATGGGATTTAAATTCTACAACCTTTAACATCCCTAATGTAGCCTTACTCCCGCGAAAAAACATATATTTTTTAAGTTGAGAGCGAGATTGACAGCTGTGAATAATCAAATCTTAATTCTAACATCAGATTCATATTCAACGACTCCAAAAATTCTCACATGAGATAGCTTAGTGTATAAAAGCAATTTTAAAAATAATATTCTTCTAATTTAACTAATTCAAAAATTGGGTTTTTTTTAATTTATTAATTTAACGACTAATTTAAAAAAAAGATTCGTCTCGATTGGCTAACAATTATGGTAGCGATTTTTGAACAGTAAATTTTCATTTGTCCCCACTATGCGTCGTGCGCCGATTCGCGCGTCTAATTAGTATAATAAAAGTAATTAACATGAGATATACGCGCAACGAGCCGATTCATCATATTTCACGATCACACTCCCGATCAGAAACATTTATCTTATACCTCTGATCAGTTTAATCCCAATCAGTTATTTACTTTCTGCAAGGTAACATTCTTATTCCTATCATCAATGAAGTTTCAATTGCCCATTGCTGCGTTACATGATTTATTAGAACCTGATAACATCATTTTATACAGAGTGTATGATAAGAAAACTTGTGTACATGTAGATTAGACCAAATTGAATACAAAACTGCTCCATTATTTTACAAACTACCGTAAGATTTTAATCTATTAATTAAAGAAGATTAGCGAATGAGCGCGCACGATCCAGCACGATTTCCGTTATATGTTTGCATATTAGGTGAAACTCGACAAAAATATTCTCTAGAATCTCTTCACGGAAAGAGTTCTATAGTAAAAATTACTATAGAATTTTATAACCGAAGAATATATTGACATTCTGCAGTAGTTGACTATTCTTTCATTTTTAAAATATTATATTTTAAAATATTTTTATTATTTATATTTCAGAAACTTTCTGTCTGTCTCTCTTTTTCTCTCTTTCTGAAATGTAATATTAAAAAATGTGTTATTTTTTATTTTATTGTTTATTTTTCTCGCGAAATTTGCTTTTAGCAAGATAGACCTTAAGATAAAAGTATCAATATTTAATCCTGAACATTCTTATTGTTTTGGTCTTGTGAATGTGAATGTGCGAATACATGATTACGTACTATAGAAATTGCCAATATTCTTTGATTAATATAATACCAATGTCTGGACGCTAATAACACTACTACTTAATACTAGACATTACTGGGCATTACTTTGATTTGGCTTGATTTTGATTTTGATATTTTAAAACAAATATTTAAATTTTCAACTTTAGAATTACGCATATATTCGATATATGTACATATAATCTATATCGACAATTTAAATATTTGTATTTAAAGACCAAAACAATAAAAATGTCCAGAGTTAGATACCTGTGTATTTGTTGTTTGCAAAAGTGGCAGAGGAATATTGTGTTCCTCTATTTGACCTAACCTACAGGTACATGATCGTTTTTCCATTTATCAAATATCCTGCATAAATCAGACAACTGATCAGGGTCAAACTGATCAAGACCATGAGATAAGTCGGATTACAATTAATCGTACAGTCATGATGCATTTCAATAAGAGCAATGACAGTGAGATATACAGTGAAACGCGATTCACCATTCATGATAACTATTCGCGATAAGCGCAATAAAGTAGAAAGCTCTTTGCCATCGTGCAACAAGTCAAAAACGAATGCGTTTTAATTAATATAATAAAAGCAAATTATGACGAGATACAGGATGTATTGCGATTCACTGTTCTACGGTGATCGTTCACAACTTTCTAGTGTAGATAAATGCGACGAAGATGCGGATGGAGATCCCTCTCATCCGTCTGTTTATTTTCTCGCGAATCCACTCCATTTGCTGTGCGCAAAAATGCGATGTCTTTTAATATATTAAGAGCAACGATAACGAGATACACGGTGGAACTTAATTTACAATTTCACGACGATCGCGCCAACGACATTCCTGTGGAGACGAGCGCGATGAAGTGGAAAATCTTCTCGTTCGTTTGTTTGGTCATTCGTTCGCCGCGAGTCGAAACAAAACTGCACTCTAATGCGATGTCACCAGCGATTACCGAGCCGCTCTGGTGCAACAATCGCGACACACCATTTTATCGTCATCGTGAAGGGCCGTCACTGTCAGCCGTGACAACGCTCGCATTTGAAGAGAAGCGTGCTTCTCTCGCGCATGTTGGAAATGCGGTTTCGCGCTCGGTTCAAAACTCGTGTCGTCGTCGTCGTCGTCGTCGTCGTCGTCGTCGTCGTCGTCGTGATCGTCATTGTCGTCGCGGTATCGTGTCGAAAGTAGAAGGCGCAAGGATCCCTCCTGCGCGCGCCCACTTTCCACGCATGTGGCACATTAACGGCACATAATGCCTTGGAAAGCACGAAAGAGATGGTCACATGCTGCACGTAACACGCAAAATCATTGAGGAACCGTGAATTCACATGATGCTCATCGACGACGACGACGGCGGTGATGAGGACGAGAGAGACGGCGATGAGAGTACCGCTACCTCTCGAGCTAATCGAAGCGCGGCGAAGGGGAAAAAGCAAAAGTGGAACACCCATATTGCAGCCGGAAAGTCCACAGATTCCGGGGCTAGCGGCTTACTCTGTTAAACACCCATCCAATCAACGGGACTGACTATACGTATTAAGATTTATATCAGCTCGACTGACGACGGTTTTGCGCCGCGAACGTACTCGCACTGATAGAACAGAAAATCACGGTTACGTCAAGGCAACGTTGAAATGACGAGAACACCATGATCGAATTATGATCAAAAGGTGAGCTCTTGCAGTCATTTCCTCGGCATCTTTTTTGACGCTATTGTGATTTTCTGTTCTGCTGGGACATTGTCGATCTATTAAACGTTGAAAATACTTTGACGCGCTTAAAGAAAAGCTATGATTAGCGCTTCAAAGCATTCGCAGTGTCTAATGGACCGCATCCTTCGCGACTTCAATGATTTCTACATTGAGAAAAAAAAAGCAGTTGGATTGACAAAATCGACGGTCACCGGTCATCAAAGAAATATTGAAATCACTATATCAACGCAACTTATTATTGCATTAACATTGTATTTTGTTGAATTGATCCAATATTTCTTTGATGGCCGGTGACCGCCGATTTTGTCAATCCAACCGCTTTTATTCTTAGTGTAGACGTTTGAGAATTCTATGATTCCGTCCAAGAGATACGTTTAAAACGTTTTTTCACTGTTATTAATACTGTTATATACATTCGCTACCAACGTCATATTTCCATCCAGCTAAAACAGATAATCAAAATAACGCCAATCTCACGTCATTTTAAAAAAATGACGTAAATTTGGTGAATATTTGGTCAAAATGACGTCAGATTGATATTATTTTGACTGTTTGTTCTACTTGAGCAGGCCGAAGAAAAAGTCACGATGATGTCGAAATGACGAGAAAATGACTAAAAAGCTCATCTTTCAATCACGATTCGATCATTTTCTCGTCATTTTGACGTCATCGTGATTTTCCGTTCTACTTGAGATATATATGACGCAGTGATCTCGCATCAGACACTAATGTCATATAAAGCATCCTTGCTTCAAAAGTAACACAACTCAAAAACATGATTTTCGAGTTATTACCATGAATATTAGTTAGGGAAATATTACTCTATGAATCAAAGATAACTTACAGTCTTCTGAACTAAGGGTGTAATATGTGTGACAGCAAAACAATTTTTTTTTCTGTCCACATTATCAAACTAATATCCGTATTGATACAAATGATTATTAATACAGATATAAGTTTGTTCCACCTTTATAGAAATATCATACTAAGAATCATTGATAATTACTTATTATCCAGTATTTTTAATACTGAAAATAAGTAATTATCAATGATTCTTAGTATGATATTTCTATAAGGGCATACAATTACGTAAAAAAAAAAACAAAAAAATAATATATATATAAAGTCGTCTGAGAAGGAGGGAAATTTCTTCAAATAAACGTAGTAATAAACCAGGTGTTAAAGGCTTGTAAAAGTTTGTCGGGTTTTAACCGTGTTCTTTTGTTGATAATAACAGACCAATCTAACTCGTGTACTTACTAGATCAATCTGTCTATCACAGATACTTTGACAACATGGCACCTAATCTGTTCGGCACTTCCGCGACCTTGTTCCTGGAGGCCACTCAGCAGGACGTGTCGCAGAAGAAACCGTCGTCGGAGAAGAGCGCGACGCAAAAGCTGTCGTCGTTGCAAAAAGCACAGAGCGCGAAACCTAAGTACGAATGGAAGATCGTCTGGCGGAACGTGATAGCCTTCGTCTATCTTCATCTCGGCGCACTTTACGGGCTCTACCTTTTAATAGTGGCTGCCAGATTGTACACGTTTCTGTGGTGTACGTTTCATTTTTATGCTAATAAACACGCTACGCAATACTATAATTCAGTCATACTTCACTAAACTCACTGATTGTTGGATTTGATATCCGTTATTTGTCAATTTTCCTGATGATTAAATCATTAAAAATATCATAAATTAATATAATTCGAGACCGATATACACTAATAAAAATTATAACAATCGAGATATCTTATGTACACTAAGAGAAAAAATATCTAAGAAACAAATATTTATTCTATAGATTTTCTAATATCATATTTACTTATATACTAATATATATATTTTTACTTTGAGGACAAATTTTTTCAAAGGAGAAAATATACATTTTTCTAAAATCATAACTTTTCATGAAAAAGCAATTGGTTATTTTATTTAGATAAAATAATTTAGATAAAGAAAAAAAAAATATATATATATATATATATTATTCGTAAAAATATATATTATATATTTATAATATATTAATATTATATTTATATATTTAATATGTTAATTATTATTAATAAAATATCAGATTATTAATACTCACGCACCAAAGAAAAATATTTTTATTTTAAAAAATTTTTTGCTCTCAGTATACATATCCTTTTTTCAGTATTTTTATCTTTTACCAATAAGTACAAAAATAATAATCATAAAGCCTTTGAAATTGATAATCACGAATAATATAAAGAAAAGCCTGTAAGAGAACCGAGTTATTAGTGCGCAGAAATTGTAAGAAAGATGCCATTTCTTCTGTTACAATGGAATATAATTTAATACAATGGAATATAATTTAAAACATATAAAATATAATAAATTAATAACGTTTGAAATTATATTTTTTTATAATAGAAGAAATTACATCTCTCTTACAATGTTTGCATGTTAAATTCTTAATGCTTGCTTCTTATAGACTTTTCTCTGTGTATATATTGCTTGATTATGTCTCTATTAGCTGTGTCTATGTGTGTGTGTGTGTAATCAATTTTTCATTCGCAATTATATTTATTTCGTACATAGTTTGATAAAACGCGTAATTTCATATTATCAATCACCAGCGATCGTCACAATCCAATGTCGCATTAATTACGAATGATTAATACATATGCGGAAGAGTTTCTAGATATTATCAGCATAAATACAATGTTATCTAATGTCGTATCAATTACGATTGATTAATACACATGCGGAAAAATTTCTAGATATTATCAGCATAAATACGGATCGGTGATTTTCCGCGGTACAGTAATGCAGCGATAATAATCGAGATTGTTTTGTTGAAAAATCTCACGAAGACGTTGATGATGTGTTATTGAGTTTTAATTTCAATAGTCCATTTTAATTTTCATCTATTGTTACCCTTCACAGCTTTGTCAATCGGCATGCTCGCAGCCATCGGGGTCACCGGGGGCACTCACAGACTATGGGCCCATCGGTCATACAAAGCGAAATGGCCGTTGAGAGTCATTCTCATGCTCCTCCAGACGACAGCCTTCCAAGTAAATATCTTCACTCAGCAGAAAGAAGTCAAACTGACAAAACTTATTTTTCAATCATGAGTCGATCATTTTCTCGTTATTTTAATGGATCAGTTTTATATCACTGTTTTACATTGTTTTACATAAATAATTTCTTTTTTGTTCCATCAGCAATGCGTCGTATTATCAATTTATCGAGATAAATTTGTTTTGATGTCTCAGAGTTATGTTACTATTAGTTTACTAATATTATATTAATTTATCTATGTCGTGTATCTTGAGTCTATACACTATATAAAAAAAATTGAATTAATCAGAATTCAAGATACATCAACCATAACGTTCAGTGAGATATGAACGAACCATATTTTTGTCTAAGATAACCAAAGACAAATTTGGTTACTTTAATAAAAATAATGAAATTATATTTACATTTCTTACTAGAAATTTTATTACGTTTCTAACTGAAAATTGTATCGTAAGGTGTTAGCGTGTAATTATTTTACTTGAAATTTTATTATATTGCATTCGAAGGACTCGCCTCCCGGTGAGATTCAAACCCGGGCAACTCGAGACCGGGTCATTTTTCTGTCCTACTTTTAGTAGGACTTACACTGAGAGAAAAATATCCCAGACAGCACACGACGTCCAATGGACGTCCAATTTTGGTTTTTATTTAGTCCCAACGTCCATGGACCTAATATGGACGTTTTAATTATGTACATTAGTGGATGTACAAAATACGTTGACTTTTACACGTTTTAAAGACGTGTATTTTATGTATTTCTAAGGAACATATGTTGAGTTTGCATATGCCTTCATTTATCAATAGTATAAGCCGGCTTCACCAACACGAATGAATTTAAACAATCGATTAAATTTATCTTTTCTATTGGAATAATTGTATCTGTCAAACGATGGTGTGATTGGTTAATTTCATCGAAAAAGTTATCATTACGAGTTTTTGAAAATTGCGAACAAATTAACCCCTCAATTTGCATTATTAATAAGAAACTCAACTAGCAAAACAATAAAAACATTTAAACAATAAAAAAACATTTTTTAAACATTTAAAAAACATTTTTTAAACGTTAAAAATAAAGGGATAAGTTCACATTTTTCATTAAAAAAAAACTTTTTTAAAAAATGTTTGAAAAAATGTTTCGTTTTTTAATATTTAACAGAAGTTTGACATTCATTAAATATTAAAAAAAAACATAACATTTTCCCAATCCGTTAAGGAAAACATTTCTTAACGAAAAAAGGGAATTTATCCAGACAGCACACAATATTTATGATAAAGATTTATAAATATTTAGGTCAAATTATTTTTTAAAAATATTACATAAATATTTTATAAATATTTCTATACATAAAGAAAAATGTATCAAAATCTTTATTCAAAATATTATTAAAATATAAGCTAAATATTTTATACAATGTTTATAGTAAACAAAAAATAAATATTTGTAGTAATATTTTGTAAATAATCCTATAAATAGTATACATAAAAAAATAAATGTAATTATTTATAATTATTAAATTATGAAATTATAAATTAATGAAAATATAAAATCGAAATTTAAATTGGTAATACTGAAAAAATTGGTATACTGAAAAAATTCTTTTTCTAAATCAAAGAAATATATTTTGTTAAATATAATTTCTTAACTTAAAAAAGTATTTGTTAGATTTTAGAAAATAGGTAATAAATATAAAGTAATATTTTTTTAAATTTGTTTTAAATTTTAAATGAGCTGTAAAATTATAAATTTTTATAAAAAAAATGACTTCCTTACAAGAAGAAAATTAGTTTTTTATGTAAAAATTATGTTTAAATAAATATTTGCTTGTTTTAAAAGTAAATAAAATACAAGTAAATCATTTTACAAATCTAAATAAATTATTTTTTAATATTAAAAGTATCTTTTTTGTGTTTCAGATTAAAGTTTCTTTTATTATCAGAAAAGAATTTATTTAAATTTACAAAATGGTTTATTTGTATTTTATTTACTTTACAAAAACAAGTAAATATTTTTTAAATATACTTTTTACATACTTTTCAAACATACATTTTGCATTTAAAACATATTCTCTTCTTTTAAATAAATCATTTGTTTTCGTATGAATATACCATATATACACAATACAAACCGTCAAGTTCAGTCAAAGTGATAGTAGCGTAGTAGGTAAGGTGAACGACTCAAAAACCTAAGGTGTCTCAAGTTCGAATCTTAACAATGGTAAGCAAATTTTCGAAGTAAAATTTAACTTGAATTAAGTAACGTGTAAAACAATATAAAGTGAAAACTAAGAACATATATATTTTAAAAATTTAAAAAAAGTTCAGAAAAGAGAAAAAAATATATAAATGTATATATTTTAATAAATATTTTTATAATATTTATGATAAATATTTATATGATCTATTGAAAGTAAGGTCATAAAAATATTTATGAAATATTTTGATAAATATTTATAAAATATTCTAATAAATCTTACAAATATTTTATAAATATTTTATAAATATTTTGTGCTGTCTGGGTATCTCATTATTTTTAACGTTTTTAAAAATACTTTTTCAAATGTCTTTTAAATATTCTTTTGGTGGTTAGGAACATTCAATATTCAAAATTACAAATATTCTATTTTCGTTTTAAGAACGTCGAGTTTTAGTCCGACGGGTCCTTAATTCGGATGTCTTTTGAACATCCATAAAAGTAACAACGGATATTTTTAAAATGTCCTAAAAACGTTTGTGGATCTGAAATGGACGTTTTAAATACGTCCACAACGTTCAATACATACGTTTTTAATACGTTTTTAAAACGTTTTTGTGCTGTCTGGGATAGTTGTCTTTGGCGTCAACTATACTCTTTTGTGATTTTAACTACAAAAATAGAAAAACATTAACTAGAAAAACCATTATTTTAGTAAATGTCATTAGAAAAAAGGTTCTTCTAATTATTTTTTTTTGTTAAAAACCCCAAAAAGTATAGTTGATACCAAAGACAACTATATTTTTCTCTCAGTATAAGTTCTACTTTACTTTGATGACATCATCATTTGATAGATCTATGTTATATATTGTCTACGTATATTATAAATCAGTATTGAATACCAGAATGTGTGATTATATTAATGCGAAATTCTGGTTTGGTTCAATCAGATCTTGCTTAATCTAACTCGCCACGTTAGTCGGACCGTGTTGTTTTTTCCGTATACAATATATGAAACTGCAACTACACAGATCATAGAATATTCATGATTTGCCGTTGTTGACACGTATACTCAAGAGAGCAAAGAAAGAGGAGCGGGGAAGAGAGAATTTCACAGCAGTTTCACGCGATAAAGACTGTTATTTACTTACGTTTCATAGAATCACATTTATGAGTGGGTGAGGGACCATAGAGTTCACCATAAGTTCACGGACACGGACGCGGATCCTCACAACGCGCAGAGGGGCTTCTTCTTCTCGCACATGGGCTGGCTTTTAGTCCGCAAGCACCCGGACGTCATCAGTAAGGGCGCCACGATCGATATGAGCGATCTCGAGAGGGACCCGGTCGTTGTTTGGCAACGCAGGTATGACGCGCGAATATGACTTATATGATTTAACAGTTTTTCCCTTCGAAGAAGATATTCTTCTTCGAAAAAGACTGAAATGTTCGTCGACGATATTTCTCGAATCAGCGTTTGACGTTTATCGAAGGACACTGTCTCCGGACGAAGAAACGTTTCGTCGAAATCATCAGTCGCACATGATTCACGAATGGATCTCGCGTCAGACATCTCACACATGCTCGCACTTCTTCCAGGTTGTACATCATCCTGATGCCGTTGATGTGCTTTCTTATTCCCACTTGGGTGCCGTGTTACTTCTGGAACGAGAAGCCCATGTACGCGTGGTACGCCAGTCTCATAAGGTATACGTTGTCGCTAAACTTGACTTGGCTGGTGAACTCCGCGGCTCACATGTACGGCATGAAGCCGTATGACAAGTAAGTGTCCTCTGTGAAAGATTCGTGAAATCGCTCTCGTCGCTATTCCCGTGGAACGCCAGGCGGAAGGAAGAACAAGTCGAGGTCGTCTCGCATTATTTCTCTCTCTCTCCGTCTCTTACTTCTTCTCATGACTTTCTTAGGGAGCAAAAACCTAGTGAAAATAACGCATCGATCTGATTGTCTGTACCTTCACATTACTGTCTCAGTTGTCTTTCACTAATTATTTTTCTACGTTTCACTTTTCTTTATAACATTCTTGAAGGACAAAGTCGTAAAATGGGAACAAAGGCATCTACCTATCTATCTAATTGTCTTACTTGCATAACACAATCAGCTGCCTTTTATTGTTCATTTTTTTCCGTTTTACTTCTTTTCACAATCCCTTAAGCGCTATACCCGGAAAAGTTTTGTGGCAAAATAGTAAATTGCTTTTGATTTACTTAAACTATTGTGTATTTTCTTTTAACTCGGCAAATACAAATTACACGTATTTTGGTATTCTGTTTCTCAAAATTCTCCAAAGAAAATAGTAATAAAGAGAAAAGACTTAGGTATTTCTCTCTTTGTCACTTCCACAGCACCATTAGCCCTACCGACAGCCTCAGCGTCGGCATCGGCGCCTTCGGCGAAGGCTGGCACAATTACCATCACGTCTTCCCATGGGACTACAAAGCCGCCGAGTTAGGCAACTATCGCGCCAACTTCACCACCGCCTTCATCGATATGTTCGCCAAGATCGGCTGGGCGTACGACCTGAAGACCGTGGCGAGCGACATAGTAAAGAAACGCGCGAGCAGAACGGGCGACGGCACGAGATACGAGCGAACGGCTGCTGATCATCACGACGCGCATCAGCACTCGCACGAGAACGCTATATGGGGCTGGGGCGACGCCGATATGCCCGTTGAGGATATACGGAAGGTCGAGATCTTTAACAAGGGCGACTAGAGCTTTTGTATCTCTGTTGTAGCTCAGACGGGAACCGCGTAGAAGTGCAAGTCCGGCGGACTTACGGTGTGTCGCAGTTCGGAATTTCATTCGAGAAATGTTTGACGAGTTCAGTCGAGCGTCATAATCGTCCTTGGGAGATCATAATGTCGTAATTGCGACCTTTCCAGGCAGAATTGCGATTGCCACAAAAAATTCCAGGAATCGGTTCGTGATCTAAATTTCAGATATTTTCAAGTTTGTTTTTTGATCACCGTCGGTTATGCAAAAGACACAGCGTTTTTCAGCGAATTTTGCAACACATCCATATTCAACGGGCAAATTTGCACTTCCATAATTCTCAGGAGATAAATTTTCCTGTCAAACACCAGATGCGTTTTTAAACTCTTCCAAGTAAAGGCGATTTTTCTGCTACTGATTATACTCGGCATACAAGAATTACGCGAGTGTTTAAAACATACGACAAGATAGGGAACTGCGACCACTTCAGTCTAAAATCTCGCAACTAAAAATGCTACCAGTATAAACCAGTGTAACTTCTACATTCGCGTACCTGAATACTGCTCGGGCACTCGAATTCGCGAAAGTCACTTGGATATTCTGTTACTATTCGAACCGGGTGTCTAGGTAGCCGAAACTAGAAATCACGAGGAGAACACTCGTTAATCATCTGTTATTACTTTTTCCTGCAACTGATTTTCTCTGTTGTTTGCTTCTAAGTACGTTAATCACGGTATCCGAGTACTAGAGTAATTGGAGAAAGACTCAGGTATCCTGCGAAAGCTACCCATGTAATACCCATGTAATACCCGACTTACACCCGGTTATCTGGATTCGTCCCTTATAGAAATATCATACTAAGAATCATTGATAATTACTTATTATCCAGTATTTTTAATACTGAAAATAAGTAATTATCAATGATTCTTAGTATGATATTTCTATAAGGGGTTGATAACTAAATTGTCGATCTGACACGAAACTCGTCGAATATGCACGTTCTACGCTGGTGAGTCTCGCTGCGAACACAGACAAGAAGATAATTTGAGAACGGTGACCGGTCAAGAGATACCATCGGTATCTCGATACCGTTGTCGAGGAGAGGTCGACCCGAGGAATATCCGTAGGTAAGAACGTGGGTATAGATGAGAGTCCCCTCGACAAGCGCATCGAGATAGCCTCCTTCTGACGAATTACGCCACCGTTCGCGAATTAGATTCCTCATGCAAGAGTTTATCTACTGCTATCCTCTATCTCTATTCTTCGGGTTATTTTATCTACTGTGCTGGCACGTTGTACAATGAACGATCCAAAGATCAGTGGTGAATCGTTATAATGACGTCAATTAATATTTATTGCATAATATTACTATATCGTATGTTTGTTATCGTGTTTCTCTCATCGAATCGGCCATTGGAAAAACGTCGCGGGCTCGATCGCCTCGCAAGGGAAACAAGGCGAGAAGGAAGGAAGCTCATTCGACGGGGTGACTTCTTCTCGGACCGATCGAGGCGTCTCTTCCAATCAGATATCTATGTACATGGAAAGCTTTTATTACCATATCGTCTCGCGTATTATCGAAATAACGTTCCGTTAGGAAGACTCGGCTTGAGGAGTCAAGCAAGGTCTCGCGAGAAAGCGGAGAGGACGATTAAACACGGGACACTGCTCGCGCGGACTCGTCGCGAATCGCTTGCGGGCTTTATTGGCCGATTTTGACTCGATTTCTTTCTCCACGATGACATTGACGGAATTTCCCTGCTGCTTATGACATTCTCTATTACTTGTCATAATCTCACATGCATATTTTCCGATAATCTCGCGTACATATCTTATGATAATCTTATTATTGATATATCTCATATTAATCTTTAGAGGGCTGGAAAACTACTATAGTGGTGGTAGACAACAGTTAGTTACATTTATGTTACTACACTTATTCTACACTTATCTGCTTATGTGTGTATAGGTATTCAAACACCCAGATACAAGTTTGCACCCACTGTTCTCCTTCATCTCTCTCTCCTTCCCCCTATTTATTATTTTTTTCTTATATAACTGTATAACGATATAACTATAAATATTCTCATAATTTACAAAAACTGACAGTTCCATCTTATTCAGCGACTTCGAAAACCTCTAGAAACCCATTTTTTTCAAATTTCAAAATTTTAACATTGTCTTTATCCCTCAAGCCAGGACCACCACTTAACCCCTTCACTGCCGAGAACAAAGATCTTTGTTTTTTTGGACTTGGCCCAAACTGCCGGAAAATCACAAATCTTTGTCCTATAAATAAATGCTCTACTGACGCCTGATAATGCATTAAACGTGAACAGAATGTGTTTTCCTATGTTTTCGGGGTCGCTGAATATGATTCCGAAGTCCATTTTATACTATCTCGCACCCATGACCGACTAGAGCTATAAGAAAATGACTATTTTTTTCATTTTTTGGAAAATCTTTGTCCTCGCACACTCAAGTTTTATGCCACATTTAAACAGTGTTATTCTGATAAGCTATATCATTTATGGGTAAAAGTAACTCAATTCATGACTTTTTGCTACTTTTACCAGATATATCATTTTCATCGTAGTTCGACCCGCTGATTCATCTTTTGCGTGAATTACCCTTGACATCAGCCGAACCCAGGATGCACCGTCGAGGAGGTTGTCAAAAGGATTTAGCATCCCACTTTTTTTTGCTTTTTTTATCCTTTTTTGTTTTTTTTTGTTTTATCGCATAAGCGGTACAAATGAACTCAATTTATTATGTAGTATAAAAAAATGGTCAGTAAAAAAACTTTCAAACAAAATAGGTAACATGTCGATGAAAATACCCCAAAAATGGTATGTCCAGTTAAAATTGTCAAAGTTTCTAAGTTCGGCAGTCTGGACACATTTCATTTAAATACTCTGGCAGTGAAGGGGTTAAGTGGTGGTCTCCGTGATCGGTACTTTGTATACAATGAATATACGATATAAGATATATTTTTTATCGATTTTCTTCGTGAAATCTGGTAAATGTCGGCCCTCTAAAGGTTAAACAACAAGGGATAAAATATACGTGCGCCATACATATCGCCAATGCTTACTACAAAAAGAAGTTTCCCGGCTATAATTATTTATTAATAGCATTCGTGCCACCTTTACATTGGCACGTCAATATTAACACGCCTTCTTCTCAGTGCGCAAGTTTAACTGGAAATTCACGTGACGCTAATTGCTGATGAGGAAAAATCGAACCGCAATTGGACGTGTAAAGATCCGCGCGCTCGGCAAGCCCGCGACATTCCGCGTGTCACACGATTGTCTGTCATGATGACAGCTCGAGAACAGAACGCGAGGAGTCGCGTGTAAAAAGTGCTCAATGAAATCCGACGCAGCGAACGAATCGTCGTCCGGAACGACCGATCGGCCGATCCCGATCGACGTGCCGGCGCGTGTTGTACTGTACAATCAATTACGTACCTACGAATCAAATTCATTCGTGGCCTTCTCAAATGACTGTTTAGAATGATGATGATGATGTATTAGGCTATTTGTATCGTCTTGCTCGTAGTCATCGCAGTCAATTCCGCAATTATGCGACGCGACCAGCGGATTTTAACGCCGTCAATAATAACCGTCAGTATACACCAGCTGACATCCAGATAGAACAAAAAATCACGACGAAGCCAAATTGACGAGAAAATGACCATAAAAATTCACTTTTCGATCATGATTCATTCATTCTCTCGTCAACCTGACGTCATTTTGACCTTATCGTGATTTTCCGCTCTACCTGGTTAACATCCAAGTAGAACAGAAGATCACGATGGCGCTCAATTGACGAGAAAATGACCATGAAAACTAATTTTTCGATCGCGATTTAATCAATTTCTTGTCATTCTGACGTTGATCGTGATTTTTTGCTTCTACCCGAGTAAAATTATATCAGTGCTACAATTTCCCGTTCAACAATATAGGCGCGATATAACCATAAATAAAGAATACCAGCAAGGAACATAAAGAGGAAGTCCTTTGCTAGAAGTGCGAAGGATGTGACGTAGTGAAAGTAAACCAAATTCGACTATCGATACTATGGAATCAAAGTAAATGTTATGACGTAATATTGTCAATTAATCGAATAGACAAAGGTGTGTAAACGTATTGAAGAGAAAATTATTACAAGGGACTAATTTTATTTCCCTCAATATTAGCAAAATATAAATACAATTTTTCTATTATTCTTTTAAAATTAATATTCCTTTGCTATATACTTCCAAAATGTTTAAAGTATACCGTTAGACTGTGCTTGCGGTAACGTCACTTATGACGTAGTTCATGTCATCAAACTGTGCAACCAGTGCAACACAATCGATTACCCACGATATATCGCAACATACTCCTTCCTGGTATTCTTTATTCAATGAATATGACACATATTCATGTTGACACATATTGTATGTAACAGTTGCATTGTTAAGTGGCAAGTATCGTATCATTGACGTAATGTTATTGTTAAGTGGTGTTTATTGAAAATCGAGTAGTCGGCTCGGTCTACACAAGAGCCTTGTAGGCTCGTGTCAATAGTCGTCACCTGAAACTTGTTTCGTGTAAGACACTCAGATTTCTGCTCAGAATTAGATTCAAGTTATTCAATTGAATCATAATATGTGTGATATTTATATATCTATAACCGCGATTCAACTGAAAAATTCTCATCTGACTCTGAATTGAGGTCTGAGTATGTCACGAGAAACGATAGTTTCAAATAATAACTATTAATACCGCCCTCAGACCATCACCGTTAGAACAATCGCGCAATCGACTCCACGCGCTGCGTGGGGTCCGTCGAACAAAAGATCGAAATCCGTGTGCTCGAGGATGCGATTCGTATCTGCAACAATCACCGTGGATGAATGGAAGCGGAGCTTACGTGTTATAACGTTGTAGCGAGCGTGGTTGGTTTAATTCTCGCAGTTTGTTTCGATCAACGTGTCTCGATTTGTTTAGGACGCGGCGACATCTCGTCATCTTCGTTGTCGAGATCAACGAATGTCACCCGACATTGTCCCAGCTGTGACAACGTGGCCATTGAATCATTGTTGTTCCAAAGGTATTGTCGCGTCGTTAATTATCAACACATATAAACATCTAAAAGACGTCTTACTTTCTTGAACGTCCTTAAATTGTTTCAGAACTGCACTTGTAGCATGAACTTGTATTTAAGATCGTCTCAAGTTTATCTTAAGACGCTGTGAGGACCATTTTATCGATTACAGATCATATTGAAATAATTGTAAGAAGAGAATTAGCTTAAATATCAAATTATCAAAAGATCCAGATGTCTGAAACTTTTTAGAAGTCCACAGACTGCTCAGAACGATGTTTGTGGTGTAAATTTGTACGTAAGATCGTCTAAAGACTTCATCTTGAGACTCCGTAAAGACTGTTTTATTGGTCACAGATAAAACTTAACATATATTGAGAAATAACACTTGACATACATTGAGAAAAGAGAGTTAACTTAAGTATCAAATTACTTAAACTTGGAATTCGACTGTGATCATTGTTTTCAAACACTCGTTGTTTAAAGAATTCCGTTGCGAGCGCGAGGTAACTTTGCACGACATCCAGAATTTATTTTCCATTCAAGGACCGTTCTCGCGTCTCGGACCAGTCGATTGTGGCGCATGAAAGCGAGTACGACGTTTGTTCTCCAAACAACAAGCAGAACAGGTGTCACGTTGTCACAACTCGTGAGTGTTACGACATTTGTGTAAGCAGATAGCACAAGCTCCTAAAAGACATCATTAAAATGTGTTTGAAAGTTGCGTTTTTGAAACGTTTCTTGGGAGTTTGCGCTGGCTAACGTGAGCGAACGCGCGAAACTGTTTTGGGGCTTTAAGATTTGGGCGTTGGAAATGAAAAACGATCGATCAATCGATCGATGGTGCGTCGCAGGTGACCGAATCGATTGCGTGAGTGACGCGATAGCGGCCGTTCATCGTTCACGATTGATTAGCGAGCGATTCGACGCGGCACGGGCTCGAGATCAGTTCGTCTGTTTGTTTGTCTGTCTGTCTTCCGCGAATGAGCGTTGATCTCGAATCCGATCGCGACGTCGAATGACGATTTCGCAAAGGTGATCGTTTGCGAAAGCGCGCATTGTTCGAGCGCGCAATGCTAATTGCGCGGCGTGCGACAGTTGGCCAATTAGTGTTTGCCGCTTTATCGATAGCTATTCGGCAATAACGAACACCATATAGCGACATGCAACGATAAACTCTAACGTTCGTCGCGGGATCGTTGCGTGCGGCTGGCTCATGAGTCATACGCAATTCAAGGCGAGTCTCTCCGAGACGCTCAAGCGGCTTTTGCGAATTTCGTGACAGCGACGTTCACTTCGCAATCGCATGCACAATGTATTGATTGTGATTGATTCCAGGCAAGACAGAAAGCAACGTCCAAATAATGAGAAAATGATCGAGTTATGATTGAAAAGTGAATAAAGACAGAAGAAAAAATCAAAATAATGAAAAAATGGCTAAAGAGTTTTTCCACTCTTCAATTATGACTCGATCATTCTCTCGTCGTTTCGACGTCATCGTGATTTTCTGTTCTACTCGAGGCTCTCACTGAAGGCGAAGGCCCTAACCTTGCGCGACATAAATGAATGGAGTAAATTGAATAAAAAAAAAAAAAAAAAAAAAAA